CCTTAATATATATAATTGAGTATAAAAAAGTGGTTTAAATAATTAAAATTTATAATTAATATATATATATATATAATATCATTTTTTTTTATTTTCTTTTTTTTCAACAGATTTAATTACTCCAACTGCAACAGTTTGTTTCATGTCTCTTACTGCAAATCTACCAAGAGGTGGATATTCAGAAAAGGCTTCAACACAAATTGGTTTGGTTGGTATTAATTTAACAATTGCAGAATCTCCAGATTTAATAAATTTAGGATTTTCTTCAATTACTTTAGCTGATCTTTTATCAATTTTAGATATTATCTAATCGAACTTACATGCAACATGAGCTGTATGACAATCTAAAACTGGACAATATCCATTTTAAATTTAACCAGGATGATTGATTATTATCACTTGAGCATTAAATGAAGTAGATTCTTTTGCTGGATCATTTTTAGAATCAGAAGCAACATATCCTCTTTATAAATCTTTTACTGATACACCTTTGACATTAAAACCTACATTGTCTCCTGGTATGGCTTCTGGGTGATCTTAGTGATGCATTTCTATGGATTTCACTTCTGATGCTATTCCTGAGGGAGCAAATTAGATTACCATTCCTCTTGTCAACACTCCAGTTTCTACTCTTCCCACTGGAACAGTTCCAATACCACCTATTTTATATACATCTTGTAATGGAAGTCTAAGTGGCTTTTCTGTGGGTCTCTTTGGAGGTGTTACTGCATCCAAAGCCTCCAGAAGAGTTGGCCCATTATACCATTGTAAATTGATTGACTTCTCTAACATATTGTCTCCATTCCATCCAGAAATAGGAATATATGGAACATTGTCAGGATTGTATCCTACTTTCTTTAAATAAATTGACATCTCCTTAACTATTTCATCGTATCTTCCTTTAGAATACAAGACTGATTTCTCATCCATCTTATTTATAGCACAAATCAATTATCTAACTCCAAGTGTATAAGCTAATAAAATGTGTTCTTTGGTTTAACCATTTTGAGAAATACCAACCTCAAATTCACCAGCAGTTGCTGCAATCATTATCATAGCGATATCTGCTTAGGTTGTTCCAGTTATCATATTCTTTATAAAATCTCTGTGTCCTGGGGCATCAATTACTGTATAGTAATATTTATTGGTTTCAAATTTCCATAGTGAAATATCTATTGTAATTCCTCTTTCTCTCTCATCTTTCAGATTATCTAATACCCAAGCGTATTTAAATGATCCCTTCCCAATTCTAGTGGCATCTTCTTCATATTTCTTTATAGTTCTTTCATCTATTCCACCTAACTTATAAATCAGATGTCCTGTTGTTGTTGACTTTCCTGAATCAACATGTCCAATAACTACTAAATTTACATGAACTTTATCTTTTGGCATTTATTTATATTAATGACCTTACCTAAGAAAACTTTATCACTTAAATATTCTTAGAAAAATTTTAATGACTATTTTAATTAATTTTATTAACTATTTTAATTAATTTATAATAATCAACTTTTATTAAACTTTTTTCTATCTCAAATCTTTTCTTATTAAATACTACCTTATTTACCACCATTTTCTTAATTCTATTCTCATATATTTTCGTTTATTGTTTATATTGTTTCACAATTATATAATACAAATACAGATACATGACACTTTTTCGATTTCAGCTATTGATTAAAAGCTAACGAAAATATATGAGAATAGAAATAAGAAAATGGAGGAAAATAAGGTAGTATTTAATAAGAAAAGATTTGAGATAGATAAAAGTTTAATAAAAGTTAGATTATTATAAATTAATTAAAATAGTAAATAAAATTAATTAAAATAGTTATTAAAATTTTTCTAAGAATATTTAAGTCATAAAGTATTATTAGGTGAAGTCATATAAAATAAATAAATGCAAAAAGATAAAGTTCCTGTCAATTTAATAGGTGGTGGCCATGTTGTTTCAGGAGAGTGAACAACGGGGGGGACAATCTGATTATATAAGTTAGGTGGGAATAGATGTCAGAACTATTAAGAAATATGAAGAAGATGCCACTAGTATTTGGGAAGGGATTATTTAAATAAGCATGGGGTATTAGCTAATCAGACAGATCTGAGAGTAAGAGGTTTTAAAATACATATTTAAATATCCCAATTTCAAAAAAATATATATTAATCTAAACTTTTTCATCAAAAACCAAAAACACATTTTATTAACTATATCATACATCCCCAAAAATAACAACTTATACATTTCTTAATCTTTCAACAAAATCATCCTCTTTTTCT